TTTTTTTTTAATTTTTAATCAAAATTTTGTTTAAAAAATTATTTTTAAAAAATAATATTAATGTTGTCAAATAGAGGAGATTTTACTGTAAAACTTTTATAAGAAATATTTTTTTATATCTCAAATATTTTTCGAGATATATCGAAAAAAGCAAAAAACCGCTCTACTATGAGCAGTGGTTTCACCCCTTAATACCGTTTTTGGGTAGCTACAAAAAATATCTAAATTCATCTTTTTCTCCCCCTACATATGTGGAAAGTTATATTAAAATCAGAATTTTCCACTTCGCGAGGTTCCCTTATAAGTGCATTTTAAACTGCACTTTAACTCCGTATTTTATTTATTATAAATTTTTTCAGAGCCAAAATGGAAAATTCGGTTATGTACCGGATTGCGGCTGATGTTACTGATTAAAACGAGCATAATTTTAATGAGATTTGTTAATTAATTGGCTAAACTTTGGGAAAAACCATTTGTAGTTCACGGCTACAAATGGTTTTTCCCAAACTTTAGCCAAATTAATTAACGAATCTCATTAAAATATTATGCTCGTTTTCATCAGTAAGATCAGCTGCAACCCGGTACATAGCCGGATTTTCCATTTTGGCTCTTAAAAATTTATAATAAATAAAATACGGACTCGCAGCGAGTCGTAGCTAAGCCGGGACAGTGGGTGCGTTCAGCCGATACTCCGCTAGCCTAGCAATCGTGAGCAGTCGCTCGTTTTCGCTCGTTTCCGCTCGTTTCCTCTCCTTTGACCCAATGGATTAAAAGGAGAGGAAACGAGCGAGCGCTTCTGTCCAGCCAAATTTTTCCGTAGCAAATGGTAGCAAAGCGCTCGCTGCTTACGTGCGCTAGGCTAGCGGAGTATCGGCTGAACGCACCCAGTCTCCACTCTTAACCCGACTCGGGTCGCATCAATGGACGTGAAATACATACATAGATATGTATGTATTCTACGTCAATGATGCTAGAGTCCTGTATACATGATGCGACCCAAGTCGGTTTGAGTCGCAAATCGAAAACGCTATTACTCCTGTCGACCCATCACTATGAATACCGGCCTATGAATACCGGCTTAAAACTGCAATGGCCTTTAAAGGTCAATCCAGACAAACTTGCATAGCGCATAAACATATGCATAAGAGAATTGATTGGTCCATATGCATGTGCATAAGAAAATAGACCAATCCGTTTCTTTATGCATATGGTTATGCACCCATGCAAGTTTGTCTGGATAGACCTTAAGGGCCCGGACACACACTTCTGCACAACGCATAATGCGTAAGCATAAAAAAATTGATTGGTCCATACCCTAAGAGCACAATTGACGGAAAGTCGACGGTAAGTCGACTTTTATAAGTCGACTTCTAGTCGGCTTCTAAAAATGGCAGAAAGTCGACTAATGGAGGATTCACACTGCGTCCGATGTTCGACGTACGACGATCCGACATCCAATAGGAAATTTTTGTCTCTAATAATAAATTCTGTTATTGGATGTCGGATCGTCGTACGTCGAACATCGGACGTGATCGGACGCAATGTGAATCCTCCATAAAAGTCGACTTCTAAATAGGCGACTTCTAAAAATGGCGGAAAGTCGACTAAAAGTCGACTTCTAAATAGTCGACTTATAAAAATCAACGAAAAGTTGACTTTTATAAGTCGACTTCTAGTCGACTTCTAAAAATGGCGGAAAGTCGACTAAAAGTCGATTTCTAAATAATCGACTTATAAAAATCAACGGAAAGTTGACTTTTATAAGTCGACTTCTAGTCGACTTCTAAAAATGGCGGAAAGTCGACTAAAAGTCGACTTCTAGTCGACTTCTAAAAATGACGGAAAGTCGACTATAAAAAGACGGGAAACAGTCAAGCGGCGCGTCATGCATCATCAATATGGCGGCGAATCTCGAGGAGGCTAGAGGAGAAAATTAGTGTTTACGCGAGTGCAAGGAATACTTGCCGCGAGACAGGACACGATAAGACGTCGAAAAGCGCCGCGCTATCAACCACCGCCACGAAACGTCGTCGTCGTCGTCGTCATCATTGTCTTCCCGTTGACTTATTCTCGATTAGATCAGAATACTGGAATTTGACTGTATGTATGTTGCAATATGTTTGAGACGCGGTTGTCTACATTGTCTACAACAAGAATTGTTACAGAATGCGGTTACCAACCGACATGGCGGATCTAAAAGAGGATCAGGATAAGGCCAAATGAAAACATGCTTTAGAGGTTAGGTATGGTGTGTTATTAATTATCATCGATAATTAAGACCTATTGAATGCGACCTCTCCATTCTGAACCATCTTTCAGAACACCATCAGAAATGGAGGAACCTGTGTTCATGCATTCTTCGTGCGTTCTACGGAAAATCAGTCCGGAATAGGTGGTTTATAAAAAGGTGTACGAAATGAATAAAATGTATATGCGAGGGGTCACGGCGATAGAACCCGAATGATTGCCAAAATTCGCTTCTACGCTATGCCATCTTTGTGAACCATTGGTTGATCCACCGCCAAGGTATTTTTATCACAATTGTTGCTTTATAATGTTTTTCCTATTTATTTATAAAGATATTAATCTTCATTATGATCGAATATTATTCTCATTTATAGATATAATCAAGGAACCGGCAAGATCACTTGCCGCGTGTCTGGTACATTTGGAAAGGCCGGATGGGCACTACCATCGATGGATATAGAGCATCTGTGGACGGTGTAAAATGGTTCGCGTATTTCTTCTTGGAGGGTCAAGTGTACCCTAAGCTGAAACGATTTGTTCCGTCGCTGCTGACGACACCTGGGAGCATCACCAAGTCATAGGCCAGGTAAATCGTTATTCTATCTCCTTTCGATTTCACGTTGATTCATCGAATAGATTACATCAATTCAATACGATTTTTTCAGGTTAATACCACGCACTCGAGCAATAGTACAAACGCTGCGGTCGCAGGGAGTCGTGTCCAAATACAAACTGCTAGAAATCTGGGGTTTGGATGAAAAATGTGAGATTTTAATTTATAAAATAATATTTAGATATTATCATAGAGTAGACTTCTATACAATACTAGACCGCTGACAGGCATCTCGGCCGTGATGCTTGCCGCCATGTTGATTTTAGTCAAGATATGCTATACTACAGATTCTATACAAGTGGTTTTATACAAGATTTCTATACAATAGTCTGGCATATACAGAATGTCCAAAAGAAAGGGTTTAATACTACAGGAGTAGTGGTTCGATTTCGGCATTCAGTACGCTACACGTTGAAGGCATGACTTACAAACTTATTGATAACATGTACCAATATTTAACACAAAAACATTCGCCGGCTTCGTTATGTACTGTAATAACGAATGCAGATAAACGCACATCATGAGCAACTGAACACCCGATAGTGACTTATTGTTAATTCAATATGGCCGCACCCTTCACTAACACTTGCACCTCGCACTCGCATCAGCTTTTCGGCAGTGCGTCCATAGATGTTAATGGTCTAGTATAAAAGTCTGTGGATATTATATATATTTATAATTTTAGTTCTGTTGTCAGCTTACAAGAAGTGGCTGCCGGAATCCGCGCACGTAGAAGTGGCACAGATATGACGGCACACAGTGGCCGCCTTTGTAATTAAGAATAAAACATTAGGATTGTAATTATACAGTTTTTTAGATAATTAAATTATTTTATATATGAAAAAAAATCGAAATGCATCAGTTTTAGCCTTCCAGCAAAGGGTCGATTGTGTATCTTAAAATAATGAGGTAAAAATTACAAAAGTGAGAAAATTCATTAGCGTATCTACGATTTTATTTATCAAAATCTAATAAAATCTGTTAACTTTTGTCATTTTCACCTCATTTCACGATACACAACCGACCTCCAGACGTACGCAGCGGTTTATTTTATCGACTTTAAAAGTTGGCGGAAAGTCGACTTTCCGTCATGATGGGAAGTCGACTTGAAGTCGACTTCTACCGAAACTAACTTGGCAGAGAAGTCGACTTTTTTAAGGACGAAAGTCGACTTGAAGTCGACTTGAAGTCGGCGAATGTCTCAAAAAACGCCGACTAAAAGTCGACTTTCGTCCTTAAAAAAGTCGACTTTCTGCCAAGTCAGTATCGGTAGAAGTCGACTTCAAGTCGACTTTTTGCTCTTAAGGTACACATGTGCATAAGGAAATAGACCAATCAGTTTTCTTATGCTTACGTATTATGCGTTGTGCAAAAGTGTGTGCTCCCCGTTTAATACGGTCTTTTTATTGGCTGGACGGTGTCCCATGCCGTGAACGCACGTTCGCGGCGAGCGAACGCACTATTGGCGGTGCCACTGCTGCATTATGGCTCCTGCACACAGGACGCGGCAGCGCGGCATTGCGGCAACGCGGCACCGCGGTAACCAATTACCGTCTTGCCTTTCCGTTCTACTTTTGAAAGTAGTACGGAAAGGCAGATGGTGATTGGTCACCGCGTTGCCGCATTGCCGCGTCCTGTGTGCAGGAGCCATAAGGTGCCAAGTCATAAGACGCTAAAAATCAGCGTCAACAAAGTGAACGTGGTGGTTTCGCTTTGACGCTAGCGTCAAAGAAATGAAGTTGAATTTGTTTAATATTCAGCGTCGTCGCTGAATCGTCGTTAATCGTCCCAGTACAATCAAACATAGACTTCAAAATACGTAAAATATTAATTATTTTTAAGTAATATCTTCAAGTAGTAATATTTTATATGGAGATATATATATAAATAAAAGATATTATTTCAGAAGATTTTTGCTTGCTAAAAATGAGCGTCGAGCGTTAACGTGAAAAGGCACCTTTACGTTTCCCGCCAACATGGCAAATATGTCGGCGCTCGTGTCATTTCCCGCCAAGCCCCCGCGGCAACTCCGTTACGGCGCAACGAAGTTTTTGTATGGCGGTGTAGAATACTGTAGAAGTGTTTTCCCTGCGGTATCTCGTCTGATTTCTCTCGTCTGGCTGGACTACGACGCGCAAGGATGGGGCAGTCGGACGATATTGAGGATTCGATGTACGGGCGGCACCAGGATCTTTGCCAGAAGCTGAATATGGATGCGACCGCCGCGTCCGAGGCCTGGAAATCCTATGAGACTATCCGGCAGAACTACACCCTTGAGGTAGTATTTATCTTGCGATAACGGGACTGTTCCGATGGCAAATTCGATATTGCTTCACGCGAAACGCCGAGAATGTCGGCTCAGTGCGATGTGATCGTTTTCGGGATCTTCCCCGTGAGACGAAGCGTGCGACGTTCTGGCGATTCTTTCACCTTACGGAAGATTATTCAAAGCGCGACAGGGACGAAATTATTTGGCGCGTTAATTCCGACAAGATCGCGTCGTCGAAGTTGCTCGTTGATTGATTCGATTTTCGCGGTATCTGCATGTATTTTTAATATCGCGGAAACCCTAACACTTTAAGATCTTTGCGTTTTTTTATTTCGTAGAACCCCGTTATTTTCTATGAATAATATTACTGCTTTTTTACTTCATTCCCTGATTGATACTTTAATGTGATATATATGTGTATGAGTTATTGATTTAAACAGGATTTGTAATGTATATTTGTAGGGTGACCAGTTGCACTGGATAGGATGTGCAGTATACGTAGCTTGTAGAAAATTCTCTATACCTACAGTAGGAAGACCAGGTACTAATGTAGAAGGCAACTGCGTGTCGCTGACCCGTCTCTTGCAACTGTGTAATCTGCCACTGATACAGTTCTTTACAAAGAGCAAATCTTGGGCAGATATGGCAAATATGCCACAGGACTTTCGTGCCAGGATAGAAAAGCTAGAAGCTAATTTCTCAGTATCCATGGTTATATTTAAAAAATATCAGCCGATATTTGCTGATATATTCAAGGATCCACGAGAGGATACCTCTAGACCACCTAGATCTAGGAGGCACAAAGCGGTGCCCTGTACACCCAGCAGGGTCTTTGAATTCTGCTGGACGCTCTTTATATGCATAAAAGGTGCAATTCATGATATCTCTGACGATCTTGTTAACTCTTACCACCTCTTGCTGGTTTGCTGTGATCTTGTATACAACAACGCTCTATTGGCTAACAGAAAAGACTTGCTGAATCCTAATTTTCCTGGTGAGTATCCTTGGAATGAGTCTTAAAGGAAGCACATGTGTAACAATCATGATCTAACAGGAACAATCCCATCTAATGTTTTCTAATTTACAGGCTTACCAGCAAATTTCAACGATGATAATTATACTTCACCACAAACACCAAATTGCATTATTAATTTGCTGTGTGAGCGTCATGATGCAATTGCTGTTGAGGCTAAAGCCATAAAGGAGTACTGTGTGAAGAATTATATCAACAAGTTATTTAATGAAAGGATCTTGCGTGGTGATCAGTCAAATTTCTCCGGTATGCTAGAGGCGTTGAATTTTGATGGTAATAACAAGGCCATTAACAAATCTTATGAACAGCGTATGCTAAGTGTCGGAGACTTTGATGAAAGAATTTTCTTAGGTAAAATTTACAATTAAATTAAGAGTTTTGTTCTATGCATAGTAATTAGTATTGATGTATGAAATAAAACACATGCATTGTTGTAAGCTTATATTATGATCTTGCATGCTTTCTGCTAGCTTATTTTGCTTCTGTAAATATCTTTATGAATTGATAAGTAAAAATGTATATGCTGCGCATTTAATAATTGTTTGCAACTTGGATTATGTTAAGTCTAAATGAAATTTTAACACATTAACATTATACTCTTTTTTTTACTTTATTATTTATTATTTGTAATATATATGTATATATACGCACAATTTATACAATGAAGCTATCCGAACTTGTAGATTGTTTCTAGTTGAAAAAAGAAAAGTTAAAAAAGAAGATACATTCCTAGCAACCTATTTAGTTTATTAAGTTTATTTTACTTTTTTTATAAATAAATTTGTGTATTTGCTTTGTCGTGATTGCTCTATAGCGGAATGGAGAAGAGTAAATTTGAGTGATGTATCAAAATCAGATATATTTGACCAAAGTGGTGCTAAGCATGTCCAGTTTAGTAAACATGAAGTCTTACAAGGTGGGTTTATAATATCTTGTGTGTGCTTCTGTTTTGCAAATAATTAAACTAATTTCTTCTGTTTACTAATCACACTTTTCAAATAAAAAGTGCTAGGCTAGTTATAGTTTTCATATTTGCCTGTAGTTTTTCAAGTTACAAGTATAAATTTGATATAAATATATGATTCTTGTTTCAGGCCATGACGCTAATGAAAACATTGGTTCTCCTACGCAAATGATGAACATTGAAGATTTTCACGAACGATTGCAAATGAAGAGAGAACAACATGCTGGGGTAAGTTTTAGAAAGATTATTATATTTATTTTATCTCGATAATAGTAAGCATATTATATTGTTTACATATAATGTCTGCATAACTTAATTTTTTATAGCAGATACAATATTTGGCACCTCCTACGCCATTGACCGGACGTAAATACCTTCGATCGAAGGACATGTCTAATATAACACCAGTGACTACGGCAACTCAAAGTGTTATTAAGTTACAAGCTTTGATAGCTGGACAATCTGCTCCAAGCGAAAGTCTATTACAGATGCTCAAAAACTGTTCTCAAGACGTTAAATCCTTACTTGAGGCAAAAGTTAAACAGATTGGTGAACAATTTTGTGCAAACTATAATAATAATAACGCAAATATCACTAATATAAATAACGGTCCATCTGACTTTGGAAAGAAGCGCCTTCTCATGGGACAAACCCTGTTTTACAAACTTCTAGAAATGATTTTAAACGACGAGAAACGCAAAAAACCGAATGATGACATAACTGTAAGTTTATACAAATGGAGATAATCATAGATAAAAAATTATTGAAGTAGCATTTATTAAGTAGTTTTTATATCTTAATAATTATTTGTTGTAGAATCTTCTTTTGAACGAAGTCTTTATCCAATGCCTTTTTGCCTGCTGTCTTGAAATAGTTATATATTCATACAAAAGCAATGATAAGATATTCCCCTGGATATTGAAGGCTTTGAATCTGGATGCTTACTATTTCTATAAGGTCATAGAAATTATAGTAAGAGCCGAAGATCAATTGTCGCGAGATGTTGTCAAGCACTTGAATCAGATTGAAGAGAAGATTCTGGAGTCCTTGGCTTGGCAAAGTGATAGTCCTTTGTGGCAAACTATCGAGTCTTTGCCGGATGGTGTGCCGAGTTGTGAGGAAGTTTCTTTGCCTGGTACTTTGGAAACTACTGATCCGAACGCTCTTGGTCAACCTGTATTAAGACGGATTGCTTTAGATCGGGAACGTACTCATCATGATGTTCAACAAAGTCCAATTTCATCCGCTTCGGAAAGGTATAATTTATTTAACTGAAAGGACACACACGCACACACACAAAATGATCGAATTTATCCCATAAATGCCACACCTCTCAAGAATCTCGTAAATGACATGAGAAGTCTAAAAGACCCCAGCATGAAAAATGTCTCCTTACTCATTGATTTTTTTATCTTTAGTTATGAAAATTTTTTTCAATGTTCAAGGCTTAGAAAAGAGAATAAAATGCTTATATTGTTAAAATTTCAATTTCAACATAGTATAAAAAATTAAGTAAACTGAGTACTGCTAAGTGTACAAACGGGTACATCGATCACTCAACTATCATCAATGGGAGCATGAGCTCCATTTTTGGCAAGAACATTTGAAAATATATCATTGTAAAGGGTCTGGGGTTCGCTGGACCCCAGGGGGCATTTAAGGATTATGATTCTTTCGAAAATTTAAAACTGCTATAAATGTACGTATAGAGTACGTATACATACACGAACCAGAAAAAGATTGGAAAAAGTTATAAAAATATATAATTGTGTGATAAAATTTATATGATAGTTGCATAGATTATAATATACTTATTGAGCTTTATTATTTTCTTCAAATTGTGCAAAATAATTAAAAGAATAATCATAAATTTGAACTTTTTTTACCGGCTCCTGGATGGTCAGCCGAGAACTCTGCGTTGACGGTAGCGACGTACCGTCGCGGCAGAAATCAGAACTCTCACCTCTCACTCTCTCCAATGGAGAATTCTGTCTTGTGACATGTTGACAACCTATTTTGTTGTGCGTGCTATTTCTTTATTATTCGCTCTGTGCTTGTGCTCTAACGTTTAACGTATTCGTGAAAGTCGTAAAATTGGCCGAAAAGTAAGATTTGCATGCGGAAGGAACGTTTTCACCTCTTTTCGATAGTCGTTAAACGGCTGTTTTTCCCGTATGTTTAGGCTTCGTTTTATGGCTGTTTGTTTATTGTCGAGGGAAAAGGATAGTTTTCGGCCAATTTCGGAAGTGTTCTGAAACGATCTATAGTGATGTTTTATTGAAATGTCTTTTTATTTGAAAATGGCATGCACAGCAAAATTAGGTGTTTTCCTCGCCTCGATAGTAAGAATCCAATATGGCCGCGGTGACCATCCAGGAGCCTCAATATATATTTTTTAAAATAAAGGATAGTGAGCTATATATATTAAGTTATATATGATTTAGATTTCAGTCTCCTATCGCAGCATCTGGTGTAGCAAAGAAGCGATTATTTTCCGAGACCAGAATCACCGGTCAAAGCGTCCTTCGTGTTGGGCAGAGTGTGTTGTCCTCTAATAGAATGGTATTAGACAATGGTCAAAGGATACTCTTAGTACCCGATCAAATTACTGTTTCTAAAGCGTCAGGCACACAAGCGTTAAATAATTCCGCACAAGCGACGAACAAAGATGCGGCTAAACCGAAGAGGACGGGCTCCGTTGCACTGTTCTTCCGAAAGTTTTACAATCTTGCGTGTGTACGTATGCAGGACTTGTGCAATTCATTGGAGATATCGGATAACGATAAGAAAAAGATATGGACAATCTTTGAATACTCCATCAAGGAACGTACTAAATTGATGAAGGACCGGCATCTCGATCAGATCTTAATGTGTGCAATTTATGTAATATGTAAACTGGTCAGGATGGAGAGAAACTCGTTCACGGAAATTATGCGGTGTTATCGTCTACAACCGCAGGCGGAGTCACATATATATAGATCGGTGCTTATAGAAAAAGTTTCTAATGACGGTGATCCAGGGACAACTGGTAACGAAAGATCGGAGGATAATACTATGTTAGGGGAAAATATGACTCCACCAACGCCGACAAATATGGCCGGAACGTCGCAAAACTTTGATGGAGAGATACGCGGCGACTTAATCAAGTTCTATAACACGATGTATGTTCCGCAGGTCAAGGAATTTGCGAACAAATTCGGATCGGCTCGCGGTAGCGTCATGAATCTCTCGTTGAGTCCTTTACCGAAAGGAAAGGCACCTGCTAATTCTCCAGTGAGACGTGTCACTAGTAGTATTATGACACGCACTCTAGATCCGAAGGCTATCAGTGCATCACCGGCGCCGCAATTAAGTTATTGCTTCAGTCGTAGCCCTGCTAAGGTAAAATATACATTTTTAAAATTTTAAATATAAGTTTTATAATTAACTTTTAAATTATGGATTTTTGTGAAGACGGATTCTTTTTTGTTCTTATATAATTGATACATTTTTCAGGATTTAGAAGCTATCAATAAGATGATGATTTCTGTGGACGCGAAAAAAAGTGTAGGAAAGCGATTACTTACCGATGACACGGATGTAGAAATGACGGAAGGTTCATCTCCTAAAAAAACTGCAACTTTTGTTGCACGGAAATTAGAAAATATTATTGGAGAACGACGAACGCAAAATCAATAAGCGGAATGTGGTAGAATGACGATGTCAGTCGTAGTTTATGGATGAGGACGAGGAGTATGTTTAATCTGTTTTTATTTGCATACAAATTGATTTGCAAAAAATGAAGAAACCTATATGAAATAGATGAAAGCCAGTCTCTTGGCTGTCTTCTGGCATAAATGTGAGATGTTCGTTTCTCAGTATAGTCATTCTAGAAAATTGGAAAAGCCCAATAAAATATCGTTCACATCATATAAGGATGCTGTAATGTTTGTAATTTTATTTAGTGTAAAGTCAGAATTCAATTTCCAGTATTCTTTGTTGACTTTTATCTTACCAGAGTAGACTTTTTTGTTAATTTATAATTTACAGAACCAAACTGTCTTTCGAATAGTATAAAACGCAAAGTCGTGTAATGTGGATTATAACTTTGAAACACGCATATTACACTTTCCATGCATTATGTTATTGTTAACATGGAACATTTTTAGAATCATTTGAAAACAAATATGACTTTTTTTAATGTGTCTACTGTTGCCTTTTGATCATGATTGTTATGTAAAATTATCCTTAGAAATAGGAAAAGTAAAAACATGTACATCCATATATTCTAGTGATAATTAGTTTTGTGATAAAATTGCTGGCGATTTTGTAGAATATTCGCCAGTGATTCTATAAAATCATCGGAAATTTTAAAAGTTAGGATTGTCGAATTAATTATTTTCAGCGTACATAACATAGATTTAAATAGGAAATTAAATAGGAAAAATCGCAAAAAACATGGTAGTATTATCATGACAATAAATTTGTAATTCACACTACGATATACGAAGTGGTCTACTGACAACGAAAAAAATTATTTTAATGATAGATTTTTAGACGGAAACTTGAAACTGATTCTTCTCGAACATTTTTATTATGATTTATCGTAATTATTTACTTTTTAACATAAACTCTATTGCGTTAACAAATATTAAGTAAATATTCTATTCAATTAAAGTCAAATAAGCTGAGTAATATTTTGGTATTTATTTACGTTTCCGAAATTTTGGATCCATCAAAAATTCTTTAATCGCTTTTGACTCACGAAATATATTAATCACTCGATAAAAAAATTATTGGCTTTTTAATTTTGGATTTATAGTATCTACCATTAAAATACTATCCAGTTGCAATGGACCATTCTGTATACACATATTTTGAATTTGTAAAGTTGAATAAAAAATATGATATTAATTATATAAATAACTCTTGTTTTTTATTGTTGTGATCAGCTCGTTATTTGCATTATATCTTGTAAAGGTAAACCTAGTCAATATTTGTGAAGTATTTGGTATGTATCTTCCACACTGGAAATTGTTCTGACTATTCCAAATATTATGATTTATCAAAAAATAAAATTACGACATTTTTTTCTGTTCCGCGATCAAAATCATATACAAAAGTCTATAAATAAATATAGTTTCAACCGCTTGATAAAAGTAGACTTAACGATAAAATTGAACGGCTAAAACAACGAATACTCACAGCAAATACAAATGTTGAGTAATAGTTTTCTTAAATTTATTTTCTTTAAAAGAAAAACATTGATCCAAATAAATTGGAGATAAAACCAATTGTATTCATTATAAGTGCATTTTCTATCTTAATATATAAGTTATTTGTATTTTTTTAAATTTAGAGTTTGTCAAGAATTGAAAAACTCAAAGTAGATATAAATATTTCTAAATTCACTATGATCTCATTGATTTGCCATTTATTATCGAGCAATGTATAAAATTATGAAGCGAGTTAAAGACAATTATTGTATTTATTGCATTGCAAGGACTTGGTAACTCGAATACAAATGAATATCGATCGCGAATTGAGAGAAAAAATATATATTAGAGTATACTTTAAAATAATAATTGAATATAAATATTTGTGTTGTACATGAGGTGACTTATGGCTCCTGGTCCCTGAGCCGAGAACTCTGCGTTGACGGTAGCGCCGTACCGTCGCGGCAGAAATAAGAACTCTCTCCTCTCACTCTCTCCAATGGAGAATTCTGTCTTGTGACATGTTGACAACCTTATTTTAAGTTGCGGTATATTTCTTTATTATTCGCTCTGTACTTGTGCTCTAACGTTTAACGTATTCGTGAAACTCGTAAAATTGACCGCATGGTAAAATTTGCAAGAAATATATATGCGGAAGGAACATTCACCACTCCTTTCGATAGTCGTCAAACGGCTTGTTTTCCGTATGTTTAGGCTTCGTTTTATGGCTGTTTGTTTATTGTCGAGGGAAAAGGATAGTATCCGGTCAATTTTTGAAGTGTGCTGAAACGATCTGTCGTGATTTTTTATTGAAATGTCTTTTTATTTCGGAAAATACCGCAACTTAAAATTAGGTGTTTTCCTCGCCTCGATAGTAAGAATCCAATATGGCCGCGGTGACTACCCAGGAGCCTTATGTTATTTTGATTTTTATTTGTTTAGAACAGCATACTGGATCTCTTCGGTTAATTTTTTTCCTACTGATTATAACGAAATTATAAATTATATGCGGAAACTTGTTTTACAATTTTTGTTGCTTGTTTTTATCATTAAACTTAATTTATATTGTACTTTCCATGGTAGAATTTCTACCATGGTACTTTCAAAGTTTTTAGGCTTAAAAGAAGAATATGAGATTGCTTCTCTTTATACAGTATGCATGCACGACTAAAAGCGATTACTAATATGTAGGTTTTTTATAAATAAAAAGTGTACAAAGTTTTATCGGCGTACAATGAATTGCTATTGATCATCTTTTATGTATATAAAGTAGTATTGTAATATGGAAATAAATTAACAGTATAATAAAAAAATATATTTCAACCTCCTTAAAAGTCGCAATACTTGATTAATTTATTGTGTCGTCTCATGCAGTCCCACGTAGAGGAAAAAGCGGAACGGAAAGGAAGCAGAGTAGGGTAACCTCTTCTTAATTCTTTCTTATTCATTCCGTTCCGCTTTTAGACGACTGGATTCCCCATGGACGATTTTTTACGGAAAAATGGAAAGAATTCTAACCTAAAATTTACAATAATTTTGAATTATTTTTGTTTTTCCGTAAATATATATTCCATGAGATTGTTCCATACATTTATTTTAGACAGATATTATAATATTAATCATTTCTATGAAGTATAATTAATAAAAAATGATTTTTAATATTTACGTATTTCCGTTTTTCTTGGTACATGGGGAACCTGGTCATATAAAATCGGAACGGATATTTGGAGAAACGTTCTGGGCCCGTATTCCGTTCCTGCCTACCGACAACTGTCGGTTCGATAAGTGTCGTTGCGCAGGTTTTTCATATCGTGTAAAAACTGCGCAACGACACCGACAATTGTCGGTAAGGCCCGGTCTACAATGGATGTCGGAAGTCGGAGTCGTAAGAAATTGACCAATCACAGTTCATTATTCTTCGACCGCAAGGAGAATAATAGATTGTGATTGGTCAATTTCTTACGACTCCGACTTACGACATCCATTGTAGACCGGGCCTAAGCGGATTTTAGCGGAACAGAATACGGCCCCTGAGCCAGGATCCGTAACTTCGGAATAAGGATTGGCTCTGAGGAGCGGGGCGTGTCGGGCTTGGTCGGGAAGCGGGTTTGGCTGACGTGCCGGGCCCCCGTATTCCGTTCCTGCCTACCGACAACTGTCGGTTCGATAATAGCGTTTTTTCTTGGCTGCACTACCGCCCGGGCCGTATTCTGTTCCGCTACAATCCGCTTACCGACAATTGTCGGTGTCGTTGCGCAGCTTTTACACGATATGAAAAACCTGCGCAACGACACTTATCGAACCGACAGTTGTCGGTAGGCAGGAACGGAATACGGGCCCTGCACTACCCAATAGCGTTGCACTAGTGTTGCACTAGTGTTGCACTAGTAGGCGATAGTGCAGCCAAGAAAAAACGCTATAAGTGTCGTTGCGCAGGTTTTTCATATCGTGTAAAAGCTGCGCAACGACACCGACAATTGTCGGTAGTCGGTAAGCGGATTTTAGCGGAACAGAATACGGCCCCTGGGCGAGGTGAACCGATCGGCGTTCTCGCGCCGGTTCCGGGGATCCGAGCTTGGTCCCGTGCCTTGGCCTCCCGCGGATCTTCCTTGCTGCGAGGCTTTCGTGGCGGCGCGAACCGTCGTGGTCGTCCTCTTCGGCCGCCATTCAACGCTCAGCTCAGAACTGGCACGGACTAGGGGAATCCGACTGTCTAATTAAAACAAAGCATTGCGATGGCCCTCGCGGGTGTTGACGCAATGTGATTTCTGCCCAGTGCTCTGAATGTCAACGTGAAGAAATTCAAGCAAGCGCGGGTAAACGGCGGGAGTAACTATGACTCTCTTAAGGTAGCCAAATGCCTCGTCATCTAATTAGTGACGCGCATGAATGGATTAACGAGATTCCCACTGTCCCTATCTATACTATCTAGCGAAACCACTGCCAAGGGAACGGGCTTGGAAAAATTAGCGGGGAAAGAAGACCCTGTTGAGCTGACTCTAGTCTGGCACAGTTCTGATTAGTTACTCCCCAGTTCCCACTGTGCTTGTTTTCCACTCCGCTTTTTTCTCTACTTGGACTTGGGTGGGACTGCACCCTAGGGCCGGTCTCACAGTCTCTGATTAACGTGATTCTCCGATTAAACCCACTTTTCGTCTCTTTCTAGGGGGATAGTTAGAAAGAGATGCAGAGTGAGTTTAATCGGAGAATCACGTTAATCGGAGACTGTGAGACCGGCCCCTAAATGACCAAGCTAAAATAATTGTGGACTCATCACGCAACGAAAATATCCATCAAATTGACAATTCAAATTTAAAATGGAGAGCAAGTCAGACAAAGAATATGCTGATAGTAGGGTAGACCGGGGCACGTTGTCACACATTTGGTTCAATATTTTTTGTATTTTTTACATTCAATATTTAAGAGTACTTTGATATGCCAAAATTTCGAGTGAACCCTCAGCTTCAATTGGACAGTATCGAATTTTGTGTGATTGTTACTCTACAGTTGTTACATAACAATAAATAACGACAGGTCGCTTGTGACAACGTGCCCCGTGACCGGGGCACGTTGTCACATCAAATGTAATTGCATGCAAAATGTTATCCAAACTGTATTCAACGTAAATATCAATATATTATAGTGCGCTGCAATGTAAAAAAGTAAAATCCTTCACAGAAACATTTATTTTATTTCAAAAAAGTACAAAAAGCACGAAGTTTTCGTCTTAATCTAAATACAAGAATTCCACTCGAATGCGTAACTTATTGATACACATTTTTTTTTTAATAATTATGTCGGTGATTAAACATAAAATATTTTTACTCGTTATCGTCATCCGAAGATTCGCACGAGATTCCCATCAACGTCGTGACAACGTGCCCCGAGGGCATTTTTTTACTTCAAACAGCCTTATAGCCGACACGTTTGAGATATTCATAAGATTAGGTATTGCACGCGGTAGATAAAAGTACATACTTTACGATAATATAAAGGTCTATTCTGAAAAAACATAAGCTTCATGTCCAGTACGTTGAATATTAGACAATAAAATTTTACTTAAGGTCGCAAAAAACTTTCCAAGTTGATTTTACGTCAACACGGCTGGAGCAATCTCAACACTGTAAACACACCAAAGATGGGCATACACTAACACGTTTTGGGAATGACGGGTACTGCTCTCTGGTTATTAGTTTTTTAAATAAAGCCGATGTGACAACGTGCCCCGGTCTACCCTATTATATCTATAGTGATTTCACCAACTACCAACAATTGTCCCAACAATAAATGTTGAATGTTGAATTTAAAAAGTGAAGATATGCTAGAGCTTATTGATAAGAATCTATTTCTGGATAATAAACGGACTACTCAAAGGAGATCAGTCATTCTTTATTGATAATATCTCTTCACCAGTTTCTGCGATTCCTGCTTTTTCAAGTACACCACTACTTGACCACTCGCATATGTAAACATCACAAATCCAAATGAGCGTGCAAGAACTGATTGAAGAAAACAACAAAATAGATGCTTACGAAAAAAAAAAAAGACAAGAAAAACAATAATTAGTAATAGTGACAAACTTCAAGCATCACCAAGTAATTATTTTAAACCATACCTGAAAATAAAAGTCATTAATCAAATAAAAGTGCCACAAAAAAAAGGATTTTTGCTGTCGTTATATCAAAATCAGTAAAATTCGAAGAAATAACAATATTTGTTGAAAATACATGTGGATTCGATGCAATCAGTCAAATACTTCATTTTAGTGCGCTGGATGATCCAGTTTATTGCTCGACAATTCAATCGCCTACCAACGAGACATTGCAATTGGTTATAATGCTTTTATGAAAAGGACCAACAAGACATTTTTCTTCGACGATTCTTGATTCTGCGAGAAATTTTTCCAATTCAACGAACAGAAGCGACAAATTCACTTAATCTATATTTTTTGAATGCAGAGAATATCCGATTTAGAGTGAACTATTTAATTCCGAACCGAGTCTATTTAAAACATACGAATGTAATAATCTCACCTGCAATTTCGAACCGAAGAATTTCATTTCTTTCTGTGAATCATA